GGATTTTGGTCACACACGCATATGTGCCCAGTGAGTTTTTAAGCTGCCAGGTCTGGGACTCAAAGTGGTTAATTATGTGAGATCTGGTTATCTTAACCACCAGGCTGTGGTGCCGGCCCTACGATTTGGGTATTTAAAAAGTTATATCCATTTATTTCTTCTATAACAGAGGAAGTGAGAGAGACAAAAAGAAGCATCCTCCAACCTCTCCGCAGTCTCAGAGTTCAGGGAGGTATCTGGAAGTGAACCAAGGACCTATCCCCATGTGGGTCTAGTTGTGTTACTGCTGCAGCATGCCTGGTGTGAATTTAGGCAAATTGATAAAAATGCATGCATTTGATTGTTTTCATAAAGCTATGAATGCAACAATGTGTGGGTAGATTTGCTTAGAAAACTTCCAAATCAATTATTTGAGGATTTGGGAAGATCTGTAAAAGAGGATAATCCAGCAACAGTCAGGAGTAGAAAAACAAACAAAACAAAACAAAAACAATCCACCAAAACATAATACAAATAAGAAAGATGGCAGGGAAAAAAAACAAACATAAGAACTTTGATAAATGTGAATGAACTAAATCCTCCTAGTTAAGAATAAATTATCTGGGGCCAGTATGTGGCATGGTGGTTAAGGTGCCAGACTCCAACATGGCTGAATGCAGTTTGATTCCTGGACCTGGTGGCTTGCTTTCTCACTTATTTTCCCCTCCTCCTCTCTCTCTGTCTCTCACTGGTGAGCTCATATACCCTGGAGTGAATTAAAAAAAAATAATAATAGTAAGGAAAAAAATAAATTTTTCATTTTGCTTAGAGCATTAGGACCTACCTGGTGTTGTTTTCAAAAGTCAAACCAAAATTTAAATTTTAACGAGATATGGAAATAGAAGAATTTATTTAAATAAAAGTAAAAAATGGGAATAAAAATCAAATGGTGTGATATTATTCAATGACATAAAATAAACCATGAGCACATATGGGCAAAGAGGAATAGTTCAAAAAATAAAGCAGAATATGTAATCCTTTCTTATACTCATGATGCATGGGCAAGAGAGAATAAGTAATTATACAGTTCTTTCTGTTGTGTCAGAATCTTTGCTGAGACTTGAAGATGGATGTTAGGTGTCCATATATTTTCAAAAGAAGTGAGAAATACTTCTCAGCAGAAGTTATTGAGAGTGGTCTCAGCAATCTGAGCTGTTAATACAGAAAAGAATAAATATGTATATGAATGAAAATTTAAAGGAGGATTATAAATGACTCGTTATCACCATTTACCAGTGTCCTCCAAACTGCGTGAGACTCAGTGTTGCCGTTTATCGGTGAATTCATTTAACTTCATTCAACTTGAGCCCTTTTTATTTTGTAGAAAAAGATTAGTAGTAATGCTTCCTAACCAAGAAGGCTGCTATTAAGATGACATAAAATTAATTTATCCATTTTGGAAAAGCGCTATGCAATCTGTTAAAGGCTCTGCAGGGTTGATATTATGACCCTGATACTTCAAGGTAGAAACAGCAGGAGGCTGGGTAAAGCTGAAGTCCATTTCTGCAAATTCTGCTCTCTTACCTCTTCTTATTGCATGATTGCTTCAATCTGAATTGGTGGCCACTGTCCAGGAAAGGTGTTCCGAACCGACCTCTCCTTACCTCTTCTTATTGCATGATTGCTTCAATCTGAATTGGTGGCCACTGTCCAGGAAAGGTGAAACGACCTCTCCCTTTGGAGGAAATTGAAAGCACTTCTTGGTTCAAGTCCTCAAGGTGGATTCATGCAAACTTCCTGTGGTCATTGTTCAAACCATGCTCCAGGATGTTTTCTTTGACACACAGGATTCAGCAGTTCCTGTTTGCTCCATGAATCATTGCATCAGGAATAAAACATTTATTTAGCTCCAATTGTGTGCAGAGTTAGAATTAGGGTCAGAGAAGGTACAAAATGAATACGTGCGAATGTTTCTGTACTAAAAATATCTGCATTTTATTTAGATGAACAAACAGTAAGATCTGATTTAGGCTTCTGAAGTTGGCTACATGGAACTACTTTTCTCTGACATTTCTCAGACTCTTTCTTTCTTTCATAGCAAGGAATCTTCTACCACATAGTTAGATCAATATTTCCTTGTATATGTCTATATTTCAAGATTTTTTTTTACCTCTTTTGATGGTCACAGCATATTATGACTTAGCTCAGTAAAATACTGTTATTACTACATTTAATCTGAAAAATCGAAGCCTAGGGAGATTCCGTAAGTTGTTTATGTTCACATAGAAATTCTTGGAGAACAAGCAAAATGAGAAATAGTGATTGTTTAAAAAAATAATTGGAATCATAATAATAAGGATCAGGAAAAACAATGAAAAGATATTGGATGATGTAATGGGGATTTTAATGTCTCTGTATTGACTGATATGCATGGTATTCCTTCTGGAAAAAGAAATGTAATACACTGTAAAGTTATATGTGATTCAATGTAGTATAAACACGATTATGATGATAATAAACAAATAGATAAAGAAAGAAATTCTGGGAGGGAGTAAGACTAAGAAGGAGATCAGTGCTATGGTTATTTAATGAAACTTCCAAGGCTTGAACCCCAGCCTTCCCTCTAAAAAACTGCAAAAAGGACCAAGTTCTTAATGATCAGTGCCCTAGTTCGTTTAGTTGTAATTTGGGAATAATATAGTATTTGTCTCACAGGGTTGTTGGGAAGACCTAGTCATATTATTTTGTATTTATGTAGCCTATCCAAATTTCTAGCCTATATGAAGTACTTAACATGCATAATTCATGAATTCCTTAATTATTATTGATATTTTCTGTTACAGAATCTTTTCTTTGCATGTTTTTTAAGTTTATTTCATTTACTTCTTTCTTTGAAGAGAGACAGAGACAGAGAGAGATAGAGAGATCTAGAGATAGGTGCCCCAACAGAGTCCTTGGACTGTGACCCCAGTCTCAACCAGTCTGGATGCTAGCATTTGTGTGCTCATGTACACTTGACGCCTTTCCCATGAACACAGGGCAACCGTACTACTGCCTGGCCCCTCTTTGCCACATTTTAATAAACATTATTAATTTTTGTTTTTATAAATATTACATGTGGAAATCACATAAATGCAATAGTTAAAGTAAATCCATATACTTTTTTTTTTTTTTTAGATTTTTTTGTCATAGGGTACATACACTTGCCAGAGAAAGAGAGACAGAGAAAATGAGAAATCACTGCCTAGGTATGATGACCACTCCACAATCCCTTCTTCATTCTCCTCTTGGTATTTTGGGCATGCATGCACATACACCTGGCATGATTTTTCAAGCTGTCAAGTCCAGGACTTGAACTGTAGTAAGGCATGTGGGAATTCAGCATCTTAACCACCATGCCACCTGTTGGCTTGTCAAAAATGTTATTTTTAAAGACTTCGTTTTCTATCTTAAGTGATATGAAATGAAATATTTTAGAAATAATCTCTTGCTTAAACATAGTCTACTTCTTTTGGATATGTTTTCTGAAAATAGGTTTACTGCATAAAATAAATGGAGTATTTATGAACATTTTGATAAACTTAGCCATATTGCTTTAGGCTAATGTATGTTTAGGCTAATTTCTAGTCCCACCAGCTTTGTGTATATGTCAATCTCCAGGTGGCATCAATAGTCAGAGATGCTTCATTTTATTTTTACTTACTTTCTAGATAATAGAAAGTTTACCATACTGTGTTCCTGTCCTAGCCTACCAGCCTGTCAAGATCACAGGCACCCCTAGCAAGACCAGGTCTACCCAGGATCTGAACCCGAGCTTCCCATGTGGTCCAATTCCACCCAATGGTGCCCTATGACCTGTGCTACCATGTTTGAGCCTCATTGTAATTTTTAAGAATTTATTAATTTATTGTAATTTATAGTTTATACATAATCATTACACGTCTTTGTAGAGTACAGAATGGTTTTTTAAAAAACAAGTATACACTATAATAAACAAATCAAGGATATTAACATATTTACCACCTACAACATTTAACATTATGTTATGTTGTAAACATTTGGAACCCGTACCACTGGTTATTCTGGAAGTATGTATGTACTGAATTATCTTATGTTTTTTACTATAAGATAGAGTTTTAAAGAAAAACAAATTGATTGAAAACCAGACAACGAAAAACCTCAAAGTAGTGAAGATGGATTTTTAAAAACAAAGATAATCTTAACATAGTCTCTTCCATGTAGAGGACTGTGGAAGATAGGGGTATAATCTCAAAAGATTATACCTCTGGTCTAGTTAGAGACAGGTAAAATTGTACATAAAACAGCTCTTTAGGAAGAGATAGAAAGGGAAAACTTTTACTCACTCATTGTGAGTTTTTGTAAGACCTTAATACTACTGTGCATAAGGAAATAAGTCCTCAAAAAAAGCAAAAACAGGGGGACCAGCAGTTAGTGTAATGGCTATGTCGCTAGACTCCCACATAGTCAACTGCGGTTCGAGTCCCAGACCCAGTGGCTTAAACTCATGCCGACTGTGTGTGCTTGCGTGCCCAAGATCCCGAGATGAGAATGGAGAAGGGATTGCGTCATGGCCATTCCCCCTGGGGGGTGATTTCTTGCTTTCTATCTCTATGTCTCTCTCTGTCTGTCTGGCAAGCGCATACGCCCTGTAGCAAAAACCTCTCCAAAAAAAAAAAGCAAAAACAAAACAAAATTGGAAAGACGTTTAAAAGCAAAGACATGGTAAAGTCAGTGGTTTGGGAAATTTATAGGCTCTACAACATTGTTGATTTTAGCCTTCAAATTCATTCCAAAGAAAGATTTAGCTACTTGTGACATTGTAATTTTATTATGCATATTTTGATTAGTAAGGGCTAGTGGTATTAATATTTTTATTGCTCTTTTTTTTTCTTACTTTTGAGTGTGAAAAACAGATCACATCCAGGTTGACTGAGAGCTAAAACCACTGTTTTTTCTTAAAATCTCAATGGTTTCCTTAAGATGGAGTTATGTGGTGTTTCTCAGCCAAGCAGCCTCTGAAAGCCCAGTCTGAGCTCGTTCATTCTGAACGCATAGACCATGGGGTTGAGGGCAGGGGGGATGACATTGTGCAGCACGTTGAGGAGCACAGGGATCAGGGGAACCTTTTTCTCTGCAAGGTGTGTGACAGACAGCACAATGATCCCTGTGTAGAAGAAGAGGATGAGGATGAGATGGGAGCTGCAGGTGCGCAGAGCCTTGGACATGGCTTCTGCTGAGCTCAGTCTCAGCACAGAGCGCAGGATTAGGGCATAGGAAGAAAATACAAGAACCATGTCACTCCCAATCAGGATCCATGCTAAGAAGAGTTGGTAAAATTTGTTCACAGTGATGTCATCACAGGCCAGACTGATAACCCCCAAGTTGGAGCAGAGGCAGTGGTCAATCTCATTCCTGGAGCAGTAGTGTCTCTGGGAAGCCAGTACGGGCACTGGGATTGTTACCAAACCATTTCTCAGTACCATGAATACTGTGGTTTTGACCATGAAAGTATCCGTGACTATGGAGGGATATTGAAGACGGTGACAGATGGCTATGTATCAGTCTATTGCCATACAGAGGAAAATGCCTGACTCCATGAAGAAGAACCAGTGGATGGCATACATCTGAGCAAAACACTCAGGGACGCGTATGGCCCTGTCATCAAACCAGAAGATGGCCAGAATCTTGGGCATGATGGTGGTGGCCAGACTAATGTCCACTAAGGCCAGGATAGCAAGGAACTGGTACATGGGCTGGTGCAGGGTTGGCTCACGGTGGATGGTGGTCATGATGAGGATGTTGGCACCAAGGGCTAAGAGGTAGAGCAGAGCCAGGGGCAGGGAGAGCCAGTGCTGCCAGCTGTGAATGCCTGGGAGCCCCATCAGGATGAACTCAGACACTTGAAACCCTGAGGTGTTGGTTATACTCAGGTTGACTTCCATATCACAAGATATATTCTTTTCAGCTTCTGCCTGTGAATTGAGGGGAACAGAATATAGCTTTGGCTAGTTTAGCTGAGGTTCAAAGTTTGTGTAGAGGAATAAGGCCAACCCACACTAACTTGGTCCTTTGTAGCATAATATATTTCAACCCTCCTGAAATTCTTGGAAAAATTCAGTTAGGAATAGAACATCTACAATAGATTCAATGGTAAAGATGTTAGTGAGAAAGGAGTGAAGATTTACTGCCTACTTTCTCTGGCTTTTTCTAATGGGAATATGGACACAAAACATATACACTATAATAAGGCTGATTTTCAGTAGGCAAAGTCAGAGGGTAGAGTTGTTGTCTCCCTTTGATTTCAGAACAAATATGTAGCCATGATGTAAACACCATTTTTTTTTAACAGTGCCTTATGTTTAGCAAGAGGTTTCTGACATAAACTATCTCAATTATCTTCACTCTACTGGTGCTGTTATTCGCAAAAAAGGAGAGGTTGAGTGAGTTGTCTAGATGAGAATCATAGATTGAAAATACTAATAAGTGGTTGAACTTCAAAACAAATATAATCTCACACCTTTAATTCCAATACTCCCCAACATTGTGGTGAATTGGTCAGTATGGTTTAGAAATATTGTTTTTCTTCTGATTATGAAAATAAGGTATTTAGAAATATTATTTGTTTTTCTTCTGATTATGAAAATAATGTCAAAATATTCTTAAAACAGTATTTTAGATAATCAATTTTATTAATAAAAAATGGAAGAATGAAAATTTACCAACAAATTTCAGTCCCTTTTATATTTTTATGTTGAATAGTTTGGCAGTATAGCAGGCATTTATTGCGCACATTTAGACTTTATAGTTTAAGGGATGTTATGGCTGATTCTAGCCCTTGATTTTTATTCTTCAACTGTTGGGTATTTTCAAGTAATTGTATCAAAAATTATACTTGAGCATTATGTTTTGGGTGTCTTCGAATATCTGAAAGTGCTTTTTGCTTGCTTTACCGGTAGTCATCTCATTTCTTTTAAAATATTTAGGTATCAATTCCACCTTTCCCAAATCTCTGCCTTTGCTTCAGTTAATGATATTAAGTGAAAGGTTAAAGTTCCGTTTCTCATCCCCTCTGACAAGAATGAATGAGCATGACATTTATCAATTATAATAACTTATACTACCCATGAAATTAATAAAATAAAAAAATAATAGTAATTTTTAAAATAGTAAGAAACATAATTAAAAATAAAATCGCAACAAGCAAAGGTAGTAATCTTTAACATTTAACAATATCTAATTATTGGCATTTTTTTGAGTCTTCTTATAGAGTTGCTATTTCATATTAATGGGAATTTTAATCCTGTTTTTTTCTTCATATAATACATATTGCCTGTTATAATTCATTGGGAAACTCTATGTAAGCATTTTCCTTTTTAGTAACATATTTTTAATAACCACTAAATGTTATCCAATGGTTTTGTAATGTTTTTCTTAGTTTTTGTTTTGTTTCTTAAAGACATACACACACACATGAATGCACATGAATGTTTATATATATATATATGTGCATATATATATTTTTCATATAATACATATGAATTTTCAAATTCACCAAGAAATTCTATATAAACATTTTCCTCTTTAATAACATATTTTTAATGACAACTAAATGTTATCCAATGGTTTTGCAATGTTTTTCTTAGTTTTTGTTTTGTTTCCTAAAGACATACACACACATATGAATGCACATGAATGTTTAAATATATATATATTTCTTCATATAATACATATGAATGTTCTAATTCATTGAGAAACTCTATGTAAACATTTTCCTTTTTAATAATATATTTTTAATGACCACTAAATGTTATACATATCATATATATATATATATATATATTTATTTATTTATAAAAATCAAATGTACTGTTTCTTCCTCTTTATAATCTTTTAAGTTCAAGTAGAATTTATGAATGGTCTCCAGAGGAGTCTAATCTTCCTAAATTTATGTACAAACATTTAGTCTATACTCACATTATACTAGAGAGAATATCTGTTAGGTTTTATTAAATTCTCAACCCATTGTTTTATTTAAGCAAGGAATAATGACATAGTATCCATCTTTATTGGAAATTTTAACTAGTAAGTGGGAGCCAGACAGTGGTGCAAAGCATGATTCGCTGATCTACAAGGCTGACCCACAAAAGAAAGTTCTGGGTTCAGGTACAGAGACTTTCTTGTGTAGGCAGGGCTCAAGGATTCCCATTATCTGGAACTGCCTGAGGCCAGTGGAGGATAGTGGTACAAAGACCTTGTTGGGTTGCTCTCTCCCTCTCTCTTGCTGTCTTATTCCATGTTTCTTGTTCATGAAAGAAAGACCCTTAAATTTTTTTGTATCAATATTCACTTACTTTAGACTTTTTTTTTTTTCCCCACAGGATGTATATTGTCACTAGAGATTGACAGCCAGAAAGTGAGAAATCACCCAATAGGTGAAATGGACATGCCACAATCCACTCTCCTCCATTCTCCTCTCAGGATTTTGGACATGACACACATATCCCTGACTTGATCTTCAAGCCTCTGGGTCCAGGACTTGAACTTTAGTGGGCCATGTGGGGGTCCAGCACCTCAACCACTCCACTACCACCACTCTACCACATCCTAGCCCACGACTATGAGGTTTTAATGGTTGGTGTTTGGTTTTTATAAAACAATTTATTTCATAGAATTAATTTTGCTGTTCATAGGAGGTACATATATAAACTGATTTCAGACAATTAAACAATGGCTTCTATATCCTTCACCAAATTGTTATTACTTCTTACATAGAGAATTTACATAGATACAAAATTTCATTTCTAGGAATCAAATCTTTTATATGTTTCTGGTTATTTTTGTTTCAGTATCATATGGAATTAAAAATGCAGTTTCATAATAAATTTAATAGGCCATGAACTATATCTCTCTTATTAGTCTCTTCAATTTCAAAGCCTGTGTATGCACTTATTCTTCAGGTGTACCTTAGAATTTATGTATTGAGTTCTAAAATAACATAGTTTTGGTTAGAACTGTGTTAAGCTTGCATATTAATTGTGAGAAAAAACAAAGTCGACATCTTTAAATGATCAAGTCTTCTCATTTGTAATATGTGTCCTCTTTGCCTTTATTTAAATTAAAAATTATCTCATTAACATTTTGTGCTGTTCTGTTCTCATTGGTGATTTTTATTGTTTAGAGATGTTTTTATTGGACACGGTTGTTTTTCTGCATTACATATTCTAATGTATATTTATGGTATATAGAAATCAGCTGAATTTATTTGCCATATTATTTTTTATTATTTACTCTGGCATTCATCCACTTTGGTAAAATTGTGCCATTTGAAAATTCTTTCTTTTCTTTTTTTTGGAGAGGTTTTCGTTATAGGGCGCGTGCGCTCGCCAGACAGACAGAGAGAGACATAGAGACAGAAAGCGAGAAATCACCCCCCAGGGGGGATGGTCATGCTGCAATCCCTTCTCCTCCATTCTCCTCTCGGGATCTTGGGCATGCATGCACACGTGCCCAGCGTGAGTTTTAAGCCACTGGGTCCGGGACGCGAACCGCGGTCGACTATGTGGGAGTCTAGCGACATAGCCATTACGCTAACTGCTGGTTCCCTGAAAATACTTTCTGATTTTAAAAACTTTTCTCAACCAATTGACTATTGCTGATAAAACATATTATATTTATTATCAACCAATTGACTATTGCTGATAAAACAAATATTTTATATTTATTGTTTTATATATGCAATTTAAAGTTATTTCATCTTTTAAAAAACTATTTGTTTATTTTATTTCATTTGCTATTACTATCTTTTAATTTGACCAGAGAGAAACAGAGACAGAGAGAAAGGGAGAATGAGAAAGGAAGCCACCAGTCTAGGACTTGAATTACAGTCAACCATGTGGGAATAAAATACCTTTAACCACCACACCACTTGCTGGCCCCCTAAATTATTTAATGTTTTATATCATCCATTTAGCTAAGGCTTTTCAATTCTTAAAAGTTTCCCACTGATACTTTTTTTTTTAAAAAAAAATTGTTCTAGGTAGAATAAGTTGCTTAAGAATAGTTGAAGAGACATTCTCTAAAGAGTTATCCAAAAGTGAATATATCAACAAATGTCTAGAAGTTGCAGAACATCCTCAAGTCTGAAAAAAAAAAAAAACAGGAAATATGTCTTCATCAAAAGAACACAATAACTCTTCTCCATCTCTTGAAAAAACAGAATAAATTACTGAAATGTCAGAGAAAAAATTTGGAACATTCATGGTGACAAAACTTTATGAGATAGAACAGAAAAGAGATGATGAACTCCAGGAGATGAGGAAGTCCTCCCACGACTTGAAGGAAGAAATGTACACCATAAGAAAGAATCAAATGGAGATTTGATTCTGTTAGAGATGAAGACCGTAACAGGAAACCAAAACCTCTCTTGAAAGTATTAAAAGCCAATTAGATCAGGCTGAAGATCAAATCTCAGATGTATAAGACAAAACCTCTGACCTAGGAAAAAAAACCACCAAAATGATAGAGAAAATAACAAAAAAATGGGGATAATATACAAGGAATACTAGATTCCACTAAATGTCCACACATCCAAATTGGTATTCCGGAAGGTGAAGAAACTAAGGGCATTGAAAGTCTATTCCATGAAATCCTGGAAGAAAATTTTCCAAGGATAGAGAAGCAAGAAATACAAATAACTCCAAATAGAGTCAACCCCCCAAAACCTCTCCATGGCACATCATAGCCAGACTAGACAAAACCAAAGATAAATATAAGATACTAAAATTGAAAAGGGGGAAACATCAAGTAACTTACAAAGTTTACCCATTAGGCTAACACTGGACCTTTCAACAGAAAGAGAGTAAGCACAGAAAGAATGGAAAGATATACTGAGAGTGTTAAGAGAGAACAATTTCAACCAAGATTATTATACCTGGCAAGATTG